GATGGCTCAAGCCCCACCTACTGACATCACACAATCCCAACTCTGGCCCAGTAAACTTTCATGGTCAGAAAAATGAGCACCGGTCCAAATATATCAGCCCGGCACTGCTGTTTTTCCTTTCGGTTTGAATGCAATGATCGGGCTGGAATTTGAGGTTCGGCACCGGCCCTGGTATGATGGGCTACCAGTTGTATTTCCCATGGTTGATCCGTTTTGGAAGGTGTGCAGGCTGATACTCCTTCTCATGCTCCATGGAACTGGAGCCTCCTCACTTGAGTCATTTAGTTTCAGAAGGCATCGTCTGACACGGGGGAGCAGTTTGCTGCGAGGGTCTTTCATGGTTTTAACATCTCTCTCATTTTGCACTCCAGCTACCATCCTCAGACTAACAGGGTGAGAGAGGACAAATTAGGAGATGACGAAGACCCTTCAGCTGCTGTATGCCAACCATCCCACTCACTGGGCACGCTACCTACTCTGTGTAGAGTATGCACAGAAAACTCTATCCCCCAGCCTAATCCTAACCCTAACCCTACTCTGGGTAGAGTATGCACAGAAAACTCCATCCCCCAGCCTAACACTAACCCGTTCCAGTGTTCTAGGCTATCAGCCACCCCTGTATTGGTGGGACTCTATACCCAGCTCGGTTCTGCTAGTGGGTTTTACAAGTGTTATGTTGTGGCAGCCAGCCAGGCATCCCGTTTTCCGTGCATGTCCTACAGGGAGGAGGCCCCGGGGCAGGCCCAGGACTCGCTGGAGGGATTATATCTCTCGGCTGGCCTGGGAACGCCTCGGTGTCCCCCCCGAGGAGCTGGTGGAGGTAGCTGGGGAGAGGGAGGTCTGGGTGCCTCTCCTGAAGCTGCTGCCCCCGCGACCCGAACCCCGGACAAGCGGCAGATGATGGATGGATGGATGGATGGATGTTGTGGCAGCATACCCACTAGAGCCTGAACAAACTGTCCTGTTGGCTGAAACATCAAGCTGACCATCATTGCCACTCTAGGTCTATTTCCCATCCTGGTCAGTGAGTCTGGCTGTCAACCCAAAACCTCCATCTCTCAGGCCAAGGCAAACTGTCACCCAGGTACAGTAACCCGTTCTGTGTTCTCCACCCACCCAGGTACAGTAACCCGTTCTGTGTTCTCCACCCACGGCAGACTTGCTCAATCCTGTGCTGGTGTCTGCCTTCCAACAAGACCACCCTGACATGGACTGACTTCCCCAAATTACCTGACCTTCTGCTCTGTGATCCTGTGATTCTGTTTCTGTCTGCCTTGGTTTAAATAAAGCCACTTGCTTGCTCAGCACCTGGATTTCTCCCGAGTTTATAGCCTGTATTCGGCAGGCACGTGGCTTGAAACTTATGAACCTTTTCTTAATTTTTTTGGGGGACCACGGTGAACCACAGATAACTGAGTGCATGGATACAGGTGTCCCTCTATTAATTAGCTAATTGATGCTTGTGCGCTGCTACATGTCCTCAAGTGTAACAAGCAGTGTACGTGCGCTGTGCACATGCCTATGTAAGGTGCATGTTACTATCGTGATAAAGCACCCTTTAAATAACACTGAAATACTGAGCCATTGATTTTAGACCAGGTTTTTGTTCATCAAAAGAGCAATTGCATTCCTCTACCTCAAAATAGCAATGCACCAACAAAGCACCTGGCTCCGCCCTCATTTTAAAACCAACACACCCATAGAGCCTTAGATGGGCGCAAGTGCATTTGCTATGTAACCAATGTGGACGCCAAATGGAAAAATGAAAACTCCATTGGTCTCATGCTAGAAAAGGCACTTGCGTCACACCTGGTGCCACTTTGCATGGGGTATAAAATAGAGCCCATTGTGTCTTCAGCATTCCCTTTTGGTTACATTAACAATCCTACAAGCTTGTGCCTCACATATTTTGTACTTTGCGAGGTTTTTAGTTGTTGGTTGTCTAAGGAAAATCCTTTCTTGCCAAGCCTGGATTGCCTTCTGGTATCCATCATTGAACCATAGGAAGGATAACTTACTTATTGAGTTAACTGATGTTTTAGGGGCAATTTCATTGGCTATTGAAATTAGAATATCATTCAATATCTTGATCTGTACATAACTGCTCATAAGAAAGTGTTTTGAAGGCAAACCAGTTTACTTTTGTCAGCTGTCATCTCTCTAAGTACTGTTTCTCAGCCTCTCCTTTGTGGGTTTTGATCAATGGTCATTCCCACAAAGATCTGCCCACACTTTTACAAGAAATTTCAAGTAGTTACTGAACTTGGCAGAGAGGAAGATCCACTGCTGCCTATGTTCCATGCATGGTCTATACTGTAAATAAGCATGAGATCCATCATTCAGCAAACATACAGTAAATCATGATTATCAATCATTTTTTTCAACTAACTTACTCTTCGTATTGTGATTTGATCTACTCAATAGCAAATTATGGCCATACGAATAAAATCCATAAGAATAAAATGGGATGCCACCTTATTAACAAGATTATCTAACTCCTGGTGAGTTACAGATACATCAAGTGGAATATAGAGAACAGATTGTGATGGCTTTATGTAAGGTGAGATAGACTGCCGTGACCTGTAAATTGCTGTTAACTGAATTGCAGCTATGAATTAAGCCTCTTATTAGATTCATTGTACCACCTGCAGCACAAATGCAGTTCAGACCAAAGTTAAAGTAACATCACTCATTCCAATTTCCCTTAATTGTGGAGTCTTTGAACAATCATCCTGACCTGCTTTTGTTGTAGGCGTGTTTTCTTTTTGCTTCTTGTATTAGACAGGATTTAATCTGCCAAATGATTTGGAGCCTGTCTGGTCTGTGCATGGCCTGAGTCAATCAGGGTTTAAGATCGTTTAGTCTTATAAGAGGAACTCCTACCAACTGATTAAGATTTATCTCTGGTAACCCAGGTCAAGTCTGTCTAGCACTCACACTCACATTGACTTTTTGGTGCAGAGGCAAAAGTTTTGGTTAGGTTAAAAGGTGTAAATACCCCAACCAGTTCTTGAGTCTCGGCGTTTTTCATACACTCAATCTTTTCGTATTTCCATTTCTTTGATTACACAGGGCATTCCCTTGAAGAGACCATATGATCACCATCACAAGTACAGCATTTATACTGTAGGAACCACAGCATTTCTCAGGGATCATCTTCCTCCACTGACATGGATCACATCTCGTGGCAAATTACTGCTCCATTCGTCGCCTCTTATGAACAGCAAAGAGGTGTTAGGAACCTATTTTAAACTGGGCTCCCACGGGAAGGTATAGTGCAGCCTTAATAATAACCACACTTTATTGATCCCTGGTGGGGAAGTTCTCTTTTTGCCTACCCCATCTTGCTCTCCGTGATTCACAGACACATGTAGCAGCTTGGCTGCGTGGGGCAGTCACCTGCAGTGACTCCCATGGAGCTATGGGTTAAGGGCCTTGCTCGCCGGCCCACAAACATGACTATTCTAACCAGGCTGGGCTCAAATCTGTGACTTTCCGATCACAGGCACAGGCTTACCCTGCTGAGCCAAACTTTGCCCCCCAAAACGATTTAAAACTTCAACCAATTGCAGCAAGAAGAAAAGTTTCCCATATGCATACAGTATAAACCCCTAGCAAGGGGGGCTAAAGGGTTGCTAACGCTTTGCCCAAAGAGTGACCCTGGCACTACAGAGGGTAGGAGCATGCCACGTTCCCTTCACAAGCTACCACAAAAAAGTGGGTTTTGTACCATACCCAACATAACGACTACAACAATAGAGATGATCGCATTGGACAATCAGACAGTTTCCATAGTAGTGGATGAGGGATTTTGTCGACTTCACAGCTTATACCGACCTCTGACATGTTTCATCATTAGATCTGGACTGCAGATTGAGCTTTCATTTTCCACACAATAAGAAACAATGTCATGTCATTATATTAATCTGGGGCGGACAGCTCAGCAAGTAGGATTGAGCCAAATATCCAGGTGAGTATCCAGTACAGATAATGTCTTTCCGAAGGCAACTGTCATTTACTCACTATTGACAGATATCCCTGTCTGTCTTCAGCATTTCTTTTCGCTTTCTCATTGGACTTCAAAAAAACAACAATGCTCATTGGCTGCTACTCATACTGTCCCTCCCACATAACCATTAACTTTACACAATATTCCCCTCACCTGACACCAGTTATTAATGAGCCCGAGAAGGAGAAAGTCTAAGGGATTATAAAATTAAAAGGGAATATCCACAAAACTCCAGGTTAAACTTCCAGGTTAAACCATGCCCACATCCAATATTAAGCCGTGCCCATTCTGGATTCAGATACAGGTAGTCCTGAACTCGCTCATCCCCATAGCAAGTTTCACTGCCGGCAACCATCCCCCCCCCCACCCCCACTCCATTCCCCTCCCACTTGGCATGTGGCTCGGAGATTAGTTTTAGTATCGTTATTAGTATCGGTGGTATTAAACAAATATTATATTGGTTATTAATACTGGTCAAAATTTCCACATTGGTACACCACTACTTAACCTTAGTGAAAGCAGCCAATCTGGTAGAGCTTCCTTTATGTGTTTTTTTTCTGTACAGTAGTTGGTCTTTTTGACAATTTACGCTATCTTGTTCTTCCTATTTAATAACAACAATAAAAATCAATGATGTGAGATTGTACTTTCTTTGAATTCCATTAATCATGTATAATTCAGTTCCCATTGTCATATTTGTGAAAAGGAGGTATGAGTTTAGGTTCTGAAAATAATCAAACCAAATCATGGCAGAAAAAATATATATAAAGAAGATTACTGATGCATCAAATCATTACTCAAATAATTGTAATCAAATCGCCTTAGGGCCAATGATTTACATCCCTTTTAAAAAAACTCCCTCATCAATAAATGCTTTTTTGAACCAACTTTAGAATTTCATGATTAAAAACAATATTATATCAGTGTTTGTTAATGATAAAAACAGTTTTTTAAATAAAGGAAATGCAGGAAAGTAATTCTCCAAACTCACCTTATCCCTGCTGGCAGCTACATTGGCCAGCATCTGAAAGAAATGAAATGTACAGTAACTCAGATAAGGAATTCTATCATAAACTTATCAAAGGTTTTGTAAATTTAGTTAACTGAAACATTTTATGATCGATGCACTACATGGGTAACCACAGGATGTACGCTTTGAAAATGAATAGCATAGCAAGTTACACTTTTCTCCACTTGAAGAAAATTAGCCTCAATTTCATAGACTTGATAGAAATATTGGATATAAGTTACATTTCTACAATGAAAAAAATCACACAAACAGTGTGAAACTACATCACAATTGTTTTATTTGCATTTACAAACAATATTTGAGTGTGATTTTGATGATTGATGATTCTTATACAGACCTATGTTGTATTTCAGTTATTTTTATTCAGCACTAATCAATTTAACAATTAGGCACAGGTGACATTTAGTAGTACTAATTATGCTCATTAACAGTTACCACCATGGCATATTTCGATGTGTTATACATTATTGAACAAAATGAATTTCCACATAAAAGCAATGGGAGTGGTCTACATTCACAATAATACGGAAAGGGGGTAAAATAACTCATCACTAACAGCAGCACAAAATGGACTAGCAGAAAGTGAGGAAGGGTACGTTTGAATTTCACTTCTATTCACCTGAAATCAGTTAAAGGCTAATTATTAATGGTAATGACCCCAAGATCCATAAACAGAACAAGCAGGTTCTGACGAGCACCAAAACATAATCCAGTCAAAACACAGGCCAAGTTCAAAAGAAACCAAAGTAACACAATCCAAGTCACATTCAGAAACCAGGGGCCGTCTTCATGAAACTCTGTGTAAATCCCATCATGAAAAAAAATGTATATGAAGGAAAACTGAAGATTCCGTACACCCAAAAAATTCATATTTATAAACCTTACATATTGCACTCACCCCTCCTGGGCTGTGCTGCCTGGAGACCCAAAAATTCAAGATATTGCCTACACCTCTACTAGCTGTGACGTACTTCTGGCCAGACCGCCCTTCTGCCTGTGATGTCTCTCCTGCCTGTCGTGCAACTGAACCACTGTTCATCGAGCCATCAGAGGCAGCACAAGCACCTGAAGGCCATCACCTGCCTGCCCCCCACATTGAGTTTCAAATCTTAAAATCCTGACTATGTAAATTAGGATTGTGGCATCTCGTTCATTTGACTTCCTCTGCTGGCCCCTTTGACACATTCCCAACACGTCTTGTTCACACCACTCCCCTCAGGAAGATGCTACAAGAGCATAAAATCACGCACCACAAGACTGACTGTGATGGCCAGAGACGGCCACACAATGGTAATGTGGTAACCTCGCCTTGACCTTGAATATGTTTTACCCAGGTTTCATTTATATGCATTTATACATGGTTTGGTTTTTCATCACTATTCTCATGAAACACACAAGGCACATTTAATCAATTGTATTTGTCAGGATGTTCAACAAGGTATGGTTGTGTCAACATTTATGTGTGTTTATATTCTTAAGTTGCAGTTACTTGGAGGAGTGGAACAGCTGGAATAGGTGCATGCATTTTTTCAGTCTGATGGGCAAACAGTCTAGATCATCATGGTTCCCTTTAAATTCCCATCTGCGGTACCAACGGGAGCCCACAGTATATACACTCACCTAAAGGATTATTAGGAACACCATACTAATACGGTGTTTGACCCCCTTTCGCCTTCAGAACTGCCTTAATTCTACGTGGCATTGATTCAACAAGGTGCTGAAAGCATTCTTTAGAAATGTTGGGCCATATTGATAGGATAGCATCTTGCAGTTGATGGAGATTTGTGGGATGCACATCCAGGGCACGAAGCTCCCATTCCACCACAAACCAAAGATGCTCTATTGGGTTGAGATCTGGTGACTGTGGGGGCCATTGTAGTACAGTGAACTCATTGTCATGTTCAAGAAACCAATTTGAAATGATTCGAGCTTTGTGACATGGTGCATTATCCTGCTGAAGTAGCCATCAGAGGATGGGTACATGGTGGTCATAAAGGGATGGACATGGTCAGAAACAATGCTCAGGTAGGCCGTGGCATTTAAACTATGCCCAATTGGCACTAAGGGGCCTAAAGTGTGCCAAGAAAACATCCCCCACACCATTACACCACCACCACCAGCCTGCACAGTGGTAACAAGGCATGATGGATCCATGTTCTCATTCTGTTTACGCCAAATTCTGACTCTACCATTTGAATGTCTCAACAGAAATCGAGACTTATCAGACCAGGCAACATTTTTCCAGTCTTCAACTGTCCAATTTTGGTGAGATCATGCAAATTGTAGCCTCTTTTTCCTATTTGTAGTGGAGATGAGTGGTACCCGGTGGGGTCTTCTGCTGTTGTAGCCCATCCGCCTCAAGGTTGTGCGTGTTGTGGCTTCACAAATGCTTTGCTGCATACCTCGGTTGTAACGAGTGGTTATTTCAGTCAAAGTTGCTCTTCCATCAGCTTGAATCAGTCGGCCCATTCTCCTCTGACCTCTAGCATCAACATGGCATTTTCGCCCACAGGACTGCCGCATACTGGATGTTTTTCCCTTTGCACACCATTCTTTGTAAACCCTAGAAATGGTTGTGCGTGAAAATCCCAGTAACTGAGCAGATTGTGAAATACTCAGACCGGCCCGTCTGGCACCAACAACCATGCCACGCTCAAAATTGCTTAAATCACCTTTCTTTCCCATTCTGACATTCAGTTTGGAGTTCAGGAGATTGTCTTGACCAGGACCACACCCCTAAATGCACTGAAGCAACTGCCATGTGATTGGTTGATTAGATAATTGCATTAATGAGAAATTGAACAGGTGTTTCTAATAATCCTTTAGGTGAGTGTATGTTTTCCCCAGTGTATTATTTGTGAGGTCAGTTATGTTCAATGTAAGTTGAGTTATGTTATGCTTTAATTTTGGCTTCATTTTGTTTGGTTGACCTCATTTTATTGGGCCCAGGGTTTTCCTTTGTTGGATATTCTTTTGTATTTTGATGATTTTTGGATTTTCAGTAAGTTTTGGGTTAGTAAAAATTCTGTGCCCCTGTGTCTGCTTGCTGGTCCCTCACACCGACAAAAAACTTTTTCCTTCAGGTAATCAGACTCTTGGACAATGCTAAAAGCTCAAGTTAATCTGACCCCACATCTACACTATATTCATATCCAACACTTACTGTATGTCATTCAGCACAGTGCACTTTATTGAGTGATTCTTATATTTTTATAATTTGTTTATTACTATTCATTCTATTTTATATCTTTTTTCGAAGTAAGAATTTCATTACATGGTTCTAACGTGTACATGTTTTTTACTGTGTATATAACAATAAACTTCTTGAACTCTTGAACTTGAACTCTTGAGTCTGGTTCCTCCCAAAGTTTCTTCCGACTAGGGAGTTTTTCCTTGCCGCTGTCGCCTTTGGCTTGCTCACTGGGGGCTTTGGGCAGGAATAATGTAAAGCATTTTGAGACAATGTAACATTGTGAAAAGGTGCTATATAAATAAAATTGAGTTGAATTTAATTGAAACCTGGTGCACACATATATGGATACAATGTCCCCTTGATAAATTGAAACTATCTTGCAAATGTGCATATATACACAAGCCTGAGATCCTGCCCAGTTACCAGGGCTCTAGTCAGGATTTTTTAAATACCGAGGTCAATAGTGTTAGCCCTTCCTATGTATGCCCTGTAATGGATTGCGGTTATTGGAGTTCCTGAAAAAAACTGAGGACCTGACCTCAGTGTCCTCAGTTGTTGGTACCCGCATGACCATAAATGTTCAATGCAAAAAAACTGCATGCTCAGCTGACATAAAATGCAAATCTGTCCATTCTTTTTGCAGTCCTACATAGACAAGTCAAAGCAAGCTTATTTATATAGCAAATTTTCAAACACGGAGGTCATTCGGAATGCTTTACATTAAAATAAGATTGAATAAAAGTAATCATTAAACACAATAATTGTAAATAGAAACATAGGAATAATTTTGAACAGTGCTAGGTAGAGGAATTATAAAATGTTATATTTAGGTGCCAACGAAATGTGAAGTCAACATTGAAATACAGCAAGTTTTTGAAAGAACAGGCTGCATACCTCTCTGAGGTTTTACTTCATAGAGGTCCTGATATACCCTTGGGCTAACTAGACGATAGGCAACAGGCATGTCTAATATTCAGGCAGGCAGGGTATGGAATGAATCACAATCAGAAAACTTTTATTATTCCGGAGGATATCGTTTGTAATTATGGACTGCTCAGTAAACAAACACACAAAACGAGAAACAATATGCTCTTCTGTCTTCTATGAGTGGCGCTGTCCATAATCAACCAAACTCTGGACAGCATCCTCCTCTCTGCTGCAGTCTCAGTAGTGTCCAGTCCCTCTCATAGAGCTGACCCAGCCTTACTGACTCGCTTGCTGAGTCTGTTGGTATCTGCCACCTTCACACTGAAGCCTCAGCAACAGCAAAGAAGGCAGCTACCACTGATTCATAGAACATCCACTAAATGGTATTACTCTGAAGGAACTGAGGTTCCACAGGAAAAGTAACCTGATCTGATTCTTCTCGTACAGAGCAGTAACTACAACTGTCCAGCTTGCTATATAGGTGGGCACCCAGATACTTATAATGTTGTACAATCTCCACCTCATCTCCCTAAATGGACAGAGGGGCAACCAGAGACTGTGATCTTCTCATGTACACTACCAGTTCCTTCATCTTATCAATGTTAGGTTGTACATGATTCCGGTTGTACCAGTTAACAAAGTTGTCCACCAACCTTCTGTTCTTTGTCATGTCTCTATTCCTAGTACAGCTGAAGAGTGCAGAGTCATCTGAGTATTTCAGGAGATTGCTGGGCTAGTATTGTGCCTGAAGTTAGTGGTACAGAGTGGTGGAGAGAAAGGGAGAAAGCACTGATCCCTGCTGTACTCCTCAGTGTTCAGCACCTTCTCAGCTACACCACCCTAAATACAAACATACTATGGGCATCTGGTCAGA